TTGCTTGACCTAACTTTTTGATGTTTTCTGGTTCAAGAATTAGGTTATCCAAATGATAAATACATGTTATCATGTAAATTGACTGTGTACCGTTAAATTGTGCTTAATTTTACGAGTTTTATTACTCGGTGTCGATAGTGCAATTAAAATATAATCTATAATTTCGTATAAGAAAAGTTGATAATGGAAAAAAAACTTTGTGAATGATCCTGAAGATTTTCGTCAATCCCTGCTAATTGTGTCGTACAGTTTATTAGAAATTCATTAAGGACGGGATTTTGTACAAAAAATATCGCGAAACGGTACCCCGGCAAGTGCTGCTCTAGCTCTAGCGGCCAACGCTTCAAGGTGTGTTGTTTAATAATTTAGGCTGGGCGATATTTTAACAGACCTCGCGCCCGATTGTTCAGGAACGGCTCCAATTTGTGTACATACAGTCTTATAAGGAAAGAGAGTAAAGATTGTATTAATCATTAATAGATTATCGAGGACAATAATATTTTTTTTAATAAGTAGGCAATAATTTTTAGTTAATAAGCTTAAACAATCTTAGAATTACCATCCCTTTATTATAAAAGCAGATATAATTTTTAAAATTCCATGTAGTTTCTTCTTCAAAAGCTTAAAAAACGTATAACAGGATAACAGGAATAGTCAACAGTCTAATGTTTATATTTTCACGTTAACAATCCGATACGTAAATTACCTGCTATTTTCAGTAAAAATGATTTAACTTGAATTATTTTTTTACTTTGGTGAGTCGTATTAATTTAAAAAACACTGCCTAATTACTAAAATATATAGAAACTTGCTACTAATTACGTTTGGAGAATAATATGTAGTAGGGTGGTCCAAAAAAAAAAAAACGATTTTTTTTCGTGTCTCTTGTGAAAATATGTAAGTTTATCATGTTTTAAGAGCCCCCTCAAAAAATCAGCTCAAAAAATTTTTTTAAAGGTCGCTCAAGATTTTTAAAAATTTCTAAAATCGTCAAAAATTGAATTTTTTTTTAATTTTTTTCCCGTTATTTTATCATTTTCTAGGTTGAAAAAAATCTCGATTCTGACAATTTCAAATCGATATTTTAATTTCTAAAGGTCACTCATAATTATTTTAATTTTCAGAGTTGAGCGACCTCTAAAAAATAAAAAATTTAAAAAAAATTAAAAAATTATAAATATTTGATACTCACAGTGCGGTAGTAAATTTTGCCTCGAAACATTTATTAAGTGTCTCGTAATTAATTTCTATTATTTTGTTGATCAAATTTAATGAAAAAAAATTGTTACTTCGTTGATATTTATTTTTTAGAGGTCGCTTGAAAACGTATAACAGGAAAAAAAATTAGACAAAAATAATTCTAATTTTACTGACTATAAGTCGCACTATCGTCTTTAGTACTGTGAAGGTCATTTGTCTCGAAAGCTCTTTTTTTATTTTTAAGCAAAACAGAAGGGGATGCTATCTCCGTAAACAACAATCTGAAAAAATTTGTTAATATAATGCAGTTATAAAGGCTATACTGTATACTCTGCATCGGACCGTGAACGCAATTGACCATTCCGATACTGTATTTAAGAATATCATATTTATAACTGTATTATTTTAACATATTTTTTCAAATTGTTGTTTACAGTTATTTGCTACCTACATAGGTCAGTTTTTTCTTTTTTTAAAGAATGCCATATTTACGGAGATAGCACTCCCTTATGTTTCACTTAAAAATAAAAAAAAAGACCTTTTGAGACAAATGAACTTTACAGTATTAAAGACAATAGTTCGACTTATCGTTAGTAAAAATTTGATCTTTTTTATCAGTTAACAAAAAAATTACGACGAGTTAATGTGAGAGGTACCAATAATTTTATATGCAGAAAACCGTGATTTTTTCAACATTTTCATTAATAACTAACAAATGGGATAACGAAACCAGCTGAAATTTTAGCACACAATAGAGTAATAGTGAGGCTATATATGGTCCAAATTTCAAATTTTTTGCCCCAACGTTTTCTTAATATCGGTTTCCAAACTCAGAGGTTTATTTCATTTATTTCGATAGTAAGTGACTAAAAATAAGCAAAAGTTGATTGTCAAGACAATATGAAATTAAAATCGTGTTAGTTATATTTATATTCAAGAATGTATAATTTTTTTGGTCGTAACTTTTTTCCTTAAATATCCAGTGGTTTCCTTCTTACCGGTAAGTAGCTTGAAGATTTGTAGATTTGTAGATTGAAGAAGAAATCTATCTGAGCCAGGCTAATTTTTAAGCTGTAAATTTATTTAAACATAAATAACGATTTTATGTGGGACACCCTGTACGTAAAATTTAATCTTTATTCTTAATAAAGAAAAATTAGTACATATTATTGATTTTTTATGCGTTATATTTTCGAACTATTTAAGCTTTACAAAATCATTACTTAGTTACTACTAGGTATATCAAAGAAAATATTAGACTTATTATGCTTTATTTTAGAACGCATTTATAATAAACCAACTCTGTGTTTTCACTTTCATTTTCAAGGGTAGCGACACCTGTGAGAGAGTGTACAAACTAATTATATCGAGAATTGTTAGAAATATCTTGTGTATAGGAAACTCGACAATTCTGGTTTAGATACATACTAAAAATGGAGTCGTGTGTAAAATGTTGTCATTTCACTTGAGGACACAAATTATAGAATTATTAATAAATATTAATCTGAAAATTAAATACAAATGATCCTAGGTGTCCGTTCTAGTGAGTGAAGTAGTTTGGTTATTGTGCCTGACCTAGTTCCGTTGTAAATGCAATATGTTGACAGACTAACAGTATGTATAAAATTGAGGTACTTTGGCATTTATTTAAATTAATCTTCTGTTCTCATGAGCATTGAAATTTATCTCACTCACTAGCAGGAACCATTGCGAATACATTGATATATAATAATATTCAATTATGTTAGTTTCTTCGATGATTTGTGTCCTCATCTGAAGCTCTGTTACACGGTAAAAATATACACACTAAATCGCCCCCTTAAATTTGAAATCTTATTTACATTCAGATGATGATGTGTTACTTACTAGGTTTTGAGCAGATCTAACTATGCCAACAGGCAATTGCGATGATGGCTTGGGGGAAATTTATTCCTACTTGTTGAATCTACGCATTCAAATTTTGTATTGTAGCCGGTGTGAATTATGTTGACTCGAGAATTAAAATTGAAATTCCATTTCGTTTAACAAAGTATCACGAAATTGAACTGTTATTTCATTAAGTATGTACATATATGTGAAATTTTTTACGACCTTACAAAGGTGATAAAACGTGTAGCTGTCTGAGAGGGCATGATACGAGAAAGTGAGAAGGAAATACAGGCTCAGATGGCGAATATTCTAAATTAGGATTAGATAGATACAAAATTTCGAGGGAACTTTGGTTGCTGATTATATATCTGAAGTCAGAATTACAAAATTTAAAATCGGATCCAATGTGGTGGATGGAATAAAGAAAGAAAAGATATGAAAACGTGATGAACCAGTATAATTTTATTCTTCTGTTTCCAAATATCGAAATATGTCAAACTAATCAATTTCAATAGACGATTTCTGGGAGAGGAAAGAAGATATTAGAACGATTCCAACTGAATTTTGAAGGGGAAGAGTAGTAATTTTAGATTCCTTAACGAGTTTTATGGGGTATATTGATGTTACATAATTTCAGTTATATCGAAAAACCGTATTTTTCGCGGTTGCAGGTTAGGATATCTCGAAAATCTGACGCGATTAAACGATTCTGAAGTTGCATTCGGATGCAGCTCGACAGCTTCATTTATAGAATGTATTAGTACCTAGTATTATACAGGGTGTTAGAAGTTTGACTGCCTTAATTTTAACAGACAATAGAATACATTAAAATAAACAAAAAACTTTATATGATATGGGTCCTAAACTTAACAATTTCCGAGAAAAATTATCAAAATCTCCAACTTGACGTACAAAAGTTCGATTAATTAAGGAATATTGACATACTGCGTGCATAGAATGCTATAAAATACAACGTTTATCACTTTTTTGAACATCTTTATGCTTAATTCTAAAAAATATTTAGTGTTGTAATAAATTTAAAATTCGATAAAATTGATATTGAGCAATGTGATAACGGCGCGGCGGTTAACACGAGGTATTAAGCTGTCTATCAATACGCAATTCAGTTGGTATCTGGAATTCGACCGTGTCGGAGTGTTTTTTGCGTACAACTATTTCCTTTTTTTTAAGTATTTCTCCTTGTTCTTTTAAAATGTATACCATATGCGAGTATCACGATAATATGTAATTACTTTATGGGGAGGCTCGCCGCAATTCTGCTAGAGCTCAACGCATTTACCGTCGACGTTTTCCCCACCGGCACGTCTCTAACAGAAGAACATTCGTTCAAGTTTCACAACGTCTGCTTGAAATTGGTAATGTGATTCCTCGTCAAATTTTTATTTTTAATTCTAAAATATTAATCATTTTGTGCGTAATATATTTCCCAGTTAAGCGTATGATGTTATCACTCCCTGCTGGAATTGGTAAGAAAATTTGAAAGAGACAGCACACTGCAAATCGATTTTATAGTCTTTGTTTCTCATTTTTATACCTTTGCGTATTTTTACTCAATTAACTCAGTTTTTTAAACATTCATAACGCATTTCTTTGGGTGGTAAATACCAGTTTCTATGGTACTTTTCAATCCGCCATAATGGGTTAGCCACGCTGCCAATGTCTTCTACCTCGGGTGTCGAATGCGATTAATACCAAGAAAGTGACGCAGAGGTTTTCTTATAATTCTATCTCAACAAATGGCGTAGGAATTGTTTGTCTTTCACAACATACTGGAAGTATTTGGTTCTGTTAAAAAAATTACCTATAGTTTAATTTAGAATATTTACCTAATATTTTAATAAACGTAGATAGGGGATGTATTTTTGTCGATCATAATCTCACTAGCAACTTAATTCTGAATTTTATTCCAGATGAACCCAAGAAAAATGAGAAACCTACTAGCAAGGCGGGTACTTCTAAGGACTCAGGTATGTTTGAAAGCCAGTTAAAATTAAATTAAATTAAATTAAAATTGGGGCATATCAAAAATTCTTTGAATACATGAAGTTATTTACTACGTCACGAAATGAATATAGATGACATACAGATTATGTCAAGTCCAATGCGTATTAATTACTCTTCTTTCTTTTATGGAGTATAGAATGAAAGTTAACAAATGATTTATTTTAAGTTTTAACACACATTTGTTAAATGTTCTTTCATGTTAGTTACTTATGCATGTTTGATGACCTTTGTGAAATGAAATTTTTATAATTAGAAATATGCAGATGTACAACTGATGATAAGATAACAATGATTCATGATTACTTTCAATTCGCCTCTGAAATGTAATAACTAGACATGGGAAACTTTGTGGCGATGCGTTGTAGAGTTGTTTCAAAATCTTATGAGCTTTGACCTTCATTTGCGCAGAAACATAATTCCGATCGTTGCCTAAATTATTCTACGCCCTAAAAACATTACATCTATTATTCACAGTCTATCTCGAGCTCTCGTAGCGTAAACATGCCTTTGATCCGATTACAAATATCATAATAAAATGCCCTATTCTTTATTATTTTAATTTAAGCAATAAAAATATATATAACGAACGTTCGCTAGTTGACTTTATTGATGCCCGAGCGTATTAGTTCATTTCTGGTTGTAATGAGGCACGTGGTCTAATTCTGAGTCAATGTTTTCACGACGTGCTTATTAGAAGAATTATTATGCAGATATGCCACGCCTTTCGCGCCGTGTATGCAGCAAACAACCTGCATTCTTAACCAGCACGCCAGGCCGACAGGGCAGGCATTAGGGTGCCGCTAGATACGTATTGAATACATTGATCGATGCGAAGCTTCAGACTAGAGGCGGACATGTGCATGTGGTATTACTAAAATTTGAAGTAGTTGATGCTTCGCCACCATTCGCCATGTTGATCATTTTTGTTTTTGAAATGGGTATTTACCGATCACCAGAGACGATTAACTGCGGAACACTTAGGACAACTGTTAATTATTTTCTGCAATCACATTCCTTACGGGTTAGAAATAATTGTTTTGTTAACTTTTACTGGAACTTATTATTACCTTCATAAATGTTTACAAACCACGTGACCGCCGAGCTTAGGCAACCCAGCATTGCACGATTGGTACTGGTGACGAAAATTCCATAAATCTTGGTGTCACCGATATTAATGATTCGTTTACAATGAACAATGACAAACCGTTACGTATACACTCGAGATAATGCGATCGCTGATTGGTTGAATAGAATCTCGTGAAAAATTGCACCAATCACAGCTGATGAAACAGAATATTGTGTTTTGATGTAATCTTGATATTGTTCATTGTAGCCGCCCTAACATTTCCGATCTCTAGTAATAACTAGCATCTTTCTGAAATAAAATTAAAATATTGTACATCCATAATACCTATAAGTTCTGCATGTTACTTAAATCAATCAAAGTTCTTATCAGACCACGCGTCGTACTCCGTCAGTACCTAATTAATGGATTTGTGATTATTTTTTATTAAAACCACATTGGCATATCCATTAAAATTTGTTTACGATGTTAATTTCAATTTATCGACATGTTCCTGTAGCCATGTAACGATTCTATTCGGGGAATTGATTTGTCATTTAATATCAGTTTGCACTCATAAACATATTTTTAAAAGATAAATATAAAAAAATTGAATGAAATTTCAATTATACACATAATTATAATTTATGCAAATAGGCGAGGCAGATAGGTCTCATTGATTTAATTAATTGTTTTTGAGTTTTGGAATTTGGAAATTCCTAGTTTATTGACGTACATTGGAAACATACTAACGATTAACTCGATGGAATTAAATATTTACGAAAACACAAAGGTGAACATTTTATTATTATTTTTTTAATAATTTAATTGGAATGTTTTGTGTTAATAATAGAAAAGCTTTGCCTCGAACAATAAAACCATAGCCTTTTTTGATCATTTTATTTTTTACCCAATCTGTCTTAACTAAACACACTTGCGCCATCTGCTGTAAAATAGACTTCTTTCTGTAGGATCATAAAAAAAGCAATTTAGTACTCGTAGATATTAGATATTTTGCTGAGGTTCATAACAATACTGGAACGTTTTTTCGTGTGTACCAAAAAATATTCGTAGAATGAAAAAAGCGTACGGAAAGCTTTAACAAAATGTTAATGTACCTTTTTATCATTATTATGTAAATGTTAATTTTAAATCTCTAACTTGTTTCTCTGAAGCCATGAGTAAACCTTCAAAGAATTTTGAACTTGGCAAAGTCAAATAAACTAAATATGTAAACAAACGAATTTGAAAAAAGACTAGTTGCTGCACTTACCAAAAAGCAACTTATCTGGAAAACCGTTTGTTTGGTCGAAATAAACGAGGAGCATTTAAAAAAATATTCGGTGTCATCTGTCAAAATTAAAAAAAAATATGTGTTAGGGACAGTCCGTTTTGGGATGTATTGCAATGGTAAAAGGTAAGACGTTTCAAAGTTAAAACACGTCACGTAAATCTAGGTACCTCTTTGGGGACCGATATCTTCGTTGGGAGGAATATTTAACAATTTTAATTTATTGCATATAAATGTAGGTACAGGTTACATACTGAGAAAGTATAGTAGTATGTGAGTTACGATGTTCATGTGAAAATCACAGGAACGGGGACGACCTTTGATATAAAATGCTGGTCTATTTGTATGTAGATTTGTTGACAACACGCATTTGTTTACGTTGTGGACGAACTTATCACCAATGTGTGGTCAAAGGTGCCTGACCGTAAGCAAGTTTTAGCGATGTACGACTTTAGATGCTATTTTCGTAATTTGTAATATACGTATCATGTGATCAGGCGCCAAATTTTTGATAAGAATTGCGAAAGAAAGTAAAGCTGTTTCGCCCAAGTGTGCCAAAAGTGGTTGACAAAGAAAATAATTAAACTTCTTTGAAGACACCTTCATGAAATAAATATGGTATAGCAAGGTTTTTGCAACGGCCTGTTGTAAGAAATAAACAATTTTTAGGACTGACTGCCACGTCGGTGGATTAAATTTCTTGACGTTTCGAGAGACATAACGCTGACTTCTTCGGAATAAGCTTTGTCTGAATATTGAACCCTCTGCATTTGAAATTTCTAGTTTGTGATGTTCCCATGCTTGACATTTATGAAATCATTTTAAATTAAAGACAGTGGAGAAGACAGAGTACTATGTCGAAAACGATGGGAACTGTATCAACGAGATGGAATTCATCTGGATTCAGACGACAGCTAGTAAGTTTTGACTTGACGTAACTGTTTACAGAAGTACCAATTAAAGAAAGTTTGGAGAAGACAGACGAGAATTTTCTGGAGCAATAATGAACAAACTGAAGAAGCAGCAATGGGTTTGTCCTTATTCCCAAGGCCCTGGACCAACAATTAAGTGTTGGTTTAGATATGTTGAAGATAAATTATTATCATCTGGGCCTATGCATATGCTTGACAACATAGGAAGATTTAGGCACTATATTAATAGAATACACCCTGATATCTGTCTTCACCATCACCTTGAAAAAAAATGGCATATTTCGCATCCTTGATGTTATTGTCAAGAGCAGCATTTCCAGAAAGCTAACACACGAGAATTGGTCTCTAAACGTTGTCTCATCATCATGTGGTCCAAAAACAAGATATCATGAAGACATTAATGCATCAATACATCACTTGCGGTCAATTTTTAGAGGAGATGGAGCCAACAGTGTGGAGCAATAGAAATATTGAACAATATACCAAAATTTACCAAAGAACATTTAAGAAAATGAGCAATATAATAATAATAATAATAGTAAATAATAGTCTTTATTGTTCTATAGCAAACATACATATTACACAAACAAGTTTTCCTTAGATACGAACAAAAGGCGAAGTCTAGTCTACACAAGCAAGGTTGTGCACACTACTCAACATAACCTACTAACTAACATAAATTTTCTAACCCTAAATAATAATTATTACTAATGACATTTAACCACAATTAAATACCAGTATTATTAATAATATTATAAATAACATTGCCGCTCAAATAAAAGTCTTTTATATTTACTTTTGAATGAGTATATATTGCTCTCTTTTATATCTTGATACAAATTATTATAAACATCGCAGATTTGATAACTAAATTACCTCTTAAACATCTCAGTATTATGTTGTGGGGGAGTTAGAAGACCCTTATATCTTATATTAATTGTATGTACGTCCGTTCTAAATTTGATCTTTCTATATAAATAAGGCGGTCATTTATTTAAAATAATTGAATGATATAAACAAGCTGCATGGTGTAATTGTCTGTTTTCCATATTAAGCCATTTCACTTCTTGAAGTTTGTAGGATATTCTTTGATTTTTCCGAATTCCATAAATAAATCTGAGGCAAGTTTTGTAACTTTTGAATTTTACGTTTATATAATGCATTGATGCACGGTCCATACAAAACATCAGCAAAATTTAATAGTGATAAAATTAAACTTTCGCAAAGCATAACTTTAGTTTCACTAGGCATACAATGTCTATTAGTAGATAATGCTCTTAATACGGAGTATCCTTTTTGTATAGTTTTATCTACATATTCTTTAAATCTAAGATCACTATCAATAATTACACCAAGACTTTATCTAATTTTGGCAAAATGGACCCTTGTATATTAATATCTATTTGATTTTGCACAACTAATCGATGCTTCTTGGGACCAAATATGATGACGTTAGACTTCGACGTATTGATTAAGAGACAATGGTCTTTAGCTTCATTTATAAAATTATTCAAATCATTATTAATACGCGCAGAAGGAATATCTATCTCACTAGGAGAAAATGAATAATATATTTGCATATCATCCGCATAAAGATGTATATTGCTAAACTTTAACGAGTTTATTAAATTATAGTATAAATGGTAAAAAGAAGAGGACCCAGAATTGACCCTTGCG